AGATTATTAAAAATGTAGTAATTTTTATATATAAATTTCCCTCATGATTATCCTTCCCTCAGCGTTCTCTTTCCATCAAACTTGAGGAGTGTTTCCCCTGAAATCGTACAATGAACCCCCACCATTTATTTAACGACTTCTTTCAAGTAATGCCGCGCTACCGCAGCTCCTATAAAACCACTTCGAATCGGGAACAGCGCCTGGCACGGCGCGAAGAGTCCTAACCCACCCACAGGGCACTTTTTACTCATTTTTATGGCATGAATTCATTTGAAATTAACGGCCATTATTTCAGGGCAATTGTTTGTCGTAAAAGAGGAAAAAAAAAAGAACGTTGACTAGATTGGGCAAATGCATAGCCAAGCAAGCCCCGGGAGTCGAGGAAATGTGCGCTTGTTCTGGTTGGCAGCCTATTTACAGAGATTACTGAAAGTGGAGCCAAGCGACAGAAAAGAAAGAAAGAACCCCCTCACGGAATGGACTTTTTTGGAGGGAAAAAATGACAACTTGTTTGGGAACTCAAACAGACTAAAAAGTTGTTGGAACAGAATAGCCTTCATCCATTTTATATCCATTCTATTTTCACATCAAAGTCAAGGGTCGTCTGTGTTGATCCTGCTTTTAAGCTATAGCATAGCAATCAGCTATGACTATCCTTCGTAAGCACTTCATTAGTTCGCTTTCTTTATCCATTGGATCTGCAGTGGGCGGTCCACTAATAATAGTAATAATCACGCTTTTGACCATCAATGTGTCGTTTCATGTACACGCAATGTATGCTGTTTTGGTCATTCCATTTTGCAGGAATTGAAGGAATCTCGAGCTCTGAGAGCGTCGTATAATTATTAAATTAAATCTCTTTCGGAATTAACAGCTACGACTATCTTTGCTATCCTTAATCGCCTAGATTCAATGAGGAAATCATTCATCATAGTTCTAACACCCCCAACTAATTTGTTTGGGTCTACCTTTACTCCATTCCAGAGGGGGGGTCTAATATTATCAGTTGCACGTACAATACATTGACAAATATCTTTGTACGATATATATTTTGGCCCCCTTTTTAGTAGCATTTAATATTTGTTATTAGCAAAAGTTTCTCTCCTCGTTCTCTCTCTTTCTGTCACCTCCTTCGCTCTCACTCTCTCTCTCTTTCTCTCTGGAGCCAAACTATTTATCTCGCGTGAGGCGGCGTCACGTTGGTTATCTGGAACTCGCACCTCGCGATACGTTTGGGCCTGCCCTGCCCTGCCCTTCCCATACCTGCTGCCATTCCCGTCCTCTCCCTAAACCGCAGACCATATCAAGCAAAACAATAGAGAATCGCACACACACAGATACAAAATAGAAGTCACCAACTAAAAAATAGAACTATTTAAGTGACTAGTACACTTTTTTTAGTTGGCTGGAACGGAAATCAAATTGGCAGATCTAAGTTCTGGAAATGACTGGACAGATTCTGTATGCCAGCTGTAGATACGAGTACACAGGCGCCACATGTGACCAGAGAACGTCATGATGATGGGTCGGTCGGTCCGATCTATACAGATACAGATACAGATACAGATATACATAGATACAGAGGTCCACGTCCACGTCAGGTGCTGCAATACGAAAATACGAAAACAATTACGAGTATGGTGAAATCTGTCTGTGGTGCTTCCCCCTCAGTAGTGCTCTCCAAGTATCTCTTGAATATTTACTTAACAATAAAAGCTTTAAAATATTACTAAATATTATTCGATAGTAAAAGGCAAAAAAATGTATGGTAAAAGCTGATGGAATCAACGTCTCATAATCATCATGATGAAGATGATGTGACAAATCAGTAGAATTGAGATATTATGAATGGGAAGTTCGGAGCCAAAACGACTTTGAGTCTCGGCGATCACCCCACTAGGGGACAAAAATGTTTAATTTATATAGATGCATATATAATCAGAAGAGCTCTCGATTGAGTTGATTTGGGTGTTTGGAAATCAGGTTTCGCCCTGGGCGTAGATACATATCATCCGCCACGCCACATCTTCCTCCCATAAAGTCTGGCACGATCTTTTGCTTATCATAATCCGATAATTTGATTGTTTTTGAGATATCAGTAGAAAAGACCGACAATATCTGGAAAATAAAAGAAACTTGAACAGTGATTGGCGTCGGATTTGGAGCATAAGAAATATTTCATGCATTCGAGGCTCTGGGGGTTTCTTTCTGTCTCTTCCACTTCTTCATTTTTCTGCCTGCCTGCCTGCCTGCTGTCTCTGTCTCTGTCGCTGGCTCTGGCTCTGTTACTGTTGTTTCTGTTTCTGTATTTTTTTTTTGTTTTTGTTTTTCTGTTGTGTTGTTTGTCATTCTTGCTTCTTAACTGGTCTGGCAACTTTGTGTCGGATTGGAATGTTGTTGGCTTTTGGTCGGAGAGGTTGGTCGGATCGGATCTTTTGGTCTCCGGGTCTCTCCTCTGGCATTCTGTGGCCGCAGCCGCTGCCGCTGCCGCTGCCGCTGCTGTTGTCGCTAATGTTGTTATTATTATTGTTATAATTATTATAATTAATATTGCTGTTATGTATTACTATTTCTGCCGTCTGACTTGGCTGCTGCTGCTGGGGCTGTGGTTGTTGCCCATGACTCAGGGCAATGTAAAAGTACAGCGCGTGCGTAACAATCGATTTTATTTTGTAAATTTCTTGGAATTATTTTTGTATTTGCATTTTTAGTGTTTTCGTTTTTTAACCAACATTTGCCAGCAAGTGCTGCTTGGCAAGCAGTGAATGGGGCAAAAGCATTCTGATAAACAGTTGAATGAGTGTGGGAGCACAAGCAGTTCATCATAAGCAGTTTCATTGATCGTATTGTAGATGTTGATTTATGGGTGAAAGCAGTACAGTTTGAAGAGTAAAATGTGTCCAAGACGTCTTAGTAGTTTGCTTATCAATAGTTTGATTCTGGGCGAAAGAAAAAAGGAATCCTAAAATGCCTACTCTCACAGAACTCTTGATATGGTCTCAAGCAGTTCCATGGAAATCATAGCACAGCGCAGGAGAGTGTAAGCAAGCAGTGTAATTCAGAGGTAAAGGTCGCTTTCATCTAAATCCATCCATGTTTTGCCATTTTTCGTTTTGCACTTTGAAAAGTAAAGAAACAACAAACAAAACAAAACTACGAAAAATAATATTAAAAAAAAGAAAACAAGCACAAATGGCATTTAAGCGTGCCAAATGCACCTTTACACTTTTAACGAGACGCGTGCACGGTGGCGCCTGAGGCCGCGTTAAACGAAATTAAACAATAAAACGATCTGCTTGGACGTCGAGCACTTGTTATATTTTGATGTTTATGAGGAGAGAGGACAGTACAGCGGATGGTGGACGCCTTTGTGGTAACCCTTTCTCTGGTACAGCTATTCATCGTTAGCTAGGATCTCGATAATGTTTGTTGTGTATGTTGTCCGGAAGTGTTTGCTTGTGTCGTCTCTATTAAGTTGTTGTCTTCAGACAGCATTTCCCTAATGAGATAAAACTTTCAAGAAATCTGGGTCACAATGTTTATACACAATGTTTGAGAGCCCGGCCACCCATCCGCACTGCTTGCAGTTTTAGCGAGCGGAGGGCAGGTGTCATGGCGGTCTGCTTTAGTTTATTTCCATGCACTGGCAGAGGGTACGATGACTTCCGAAAACTTTGGAAATTGCAATTAACGTAGGATTTCTGTGATAATATGTGTACATACTCTCTCTAATCTGCTTTGACTCCAGCAGCCAGTCCTCTCTTTCGGCCTGGCTCTTTGCTCAGTTTAAACTTTATTTTTATATTTATTTTATTTTTTTGCTGTGAGGGCTTTTAGTTTTGTGTGTTATAAGCATTTAATTATTTTAGTTGAGTTTTTTTCTTATGTATTTATAGCGCGACATTTGCTTTTGGTCTGTCATTTGTTCAGTGTATTATTTTTTACTGCGCAATAAAAGCAACAAAAACAAGAACAACAAATAAAGCATAATAAACAAGCAGCATTAGCTGAGAGCGTGTGCGTAAGAGAGCAAGTCCAACGTGGATAGAGAGAGCAGTTCTCATGCAGCGAAAGAGAGAGAGAGAGAGCTTTGTATGCTCGTAGACGTATGTATGTGTGTGCGTTCTTTTTGGGCGGCAAGCTAGAAAAATGTGTGCAAAAAAACAAGAACAAAGTTGTATAAATGAGAGAGGGAGTGTGCGTATGTATGTACATACATATGTACATCTACTATGTTTTCAACTACGCAGCAGAATTTGTACTACTGCAACGGCACAATAGCAACAAAAGCAGAACCAACTACACCCAATATTGGGTGGTGGTGGTGGTGGTGGTAGTGGTCATGCTCATGCCATCTTCTACTTTTCCTTCTCCTGCCAGCCCCATTTTGCACGCAGTCGCATTCTGTTTGGGGCTGATACGCCCCGAAACAAAAGCTGAGGGCACCCTGTAAAATGTGTGGCAGCAGCAGCAGCAGCAGTAGCAGACGTTGATGAATTACAACGTAGTAAGCGCACACATCCACACACTCTTGCAGGGGGCTCTCTTTACTACCCTCTAGTACCAGGCAACTAGTTCCGCACTGGTGCCGCACTAGCTACCATTCTCACCTCCCTGGTTCCAGATCGATTACCCGCAATGTATTTCAGCGGAGAATTTAACACATGCATGTCCTAGGGCGGAACCACCCCTGGTTCCCGCTCGATTACCCTTCGATTACCCGTAGCTAGTTGCTCAGGAGGTAGTTCCGAACTAGTTACCAGTAGAAAGCCAGCAACTAGTTCCCCACTCGACTACCCTTCGATTACCCGTAGCTAGTTGCTCAGGAGGTAGTTCCGAACTAGTTACCAGTAGAAAGCCAGCAACTAGTTCCCCACTCGACTACCCTTCGATTACCTGTAGCTAGCTCTGACCTAGTTACCAGTAACGAGTTCCGAACTGACTACTGGTAGTAGTCAATCTGGCAGTCTGGAATAATACAAAAATACAAACACAATGTCTTTCATTAAAACGAATAATTTTTAATTATATGATGCTTAGCCTACTCCTGGTTTTTGGCAAGACACTTCTTCTTAAACACCCTTTTCTTCATCAATTGCATTGCCTTCCGCACAGTGTTTTCGGGAGGCTCATCGCCAGGCGGAATACATTCTGTAATTAATATTTGTTTTAATTTATATGAAAAATTTTTAAATCTCTAGAAGTGTAAATTGTATTTTACCTAGCAAAGCTGCAATTCTTTGTGGGTCCTAAGGCCTTCTTCCCTTGAACCCCATCGACGTTATAGGCTAGAACAATTTCCTCATTCAAAATAAAGTTTAAGCCGGTCAAAACGCCAGCTGGCTGGAGAATTGATTTCATTGCTGTTATCTGTAAGTGAAACATTAAAATATAAAGATAAGACAGAGAAAAAAGTCATAAAATTTATAGTTTAGATATACTTACATAAATGTCCCTATTTAATTTTATTTTTTCTTCCAGTTCTATAAGTTCTCACGTTTTATAGGGAACTGTCCCCGAATGGGATTCAATTCCCCCTTCTCCTTTACCAGCTGCTTTATTAAAACAGTTTGATCCGCTAAAATTTGGACCACTGCATTCAATTGATCTAAAAACAATGTTGTTAATTAATTTGATTATACAAATATTTTTCTGTTAATCTTTATTAGTCTTACCACGAATAACTGCATTCTCCTGTTTTAGAGTTTCTAAAAGTATTTGCACGTACCTGTTTATATTAATTTGATTTATTTATTAATTCTTTTCCACTTTTTTAATAAATGTTCACACAAAAGACTCTTCCAGCGATTAGATCTTGTACAGAAGTGAACAAAATCAATGCATAAAGCAAACGAGGAAAACAAATGCATTTTGTTTGTGTAAATTCTTGTCTCTTTCATTCCACGATCGCAACTACAGTAAAATATCACGATTAACTTACCATTTCGGTGCTCATTACATGTCGTGGCTCGGTAAAAACTAGCTGAGTGGGCACTGTAACTTCACGGAATTGCGGTTATTTGCCGCCTTCAAAAACAAACCGAAGGCGGCTTCGTTTTTCGGTTCTTTTTCGACTGGTCCGCGTTCGCTTCCCGCGTAACTAGTTGCAGAACTAGTACAGTGTAGTCGACGAAGACCTGGTCCGCGTTCGCTTCCCGCGTAACTAGTTGCGTAGCTAGTTGCGCGGTAAACAGCGCAGAACTAGTTCGAGAGGGGTCAATTGACCCCTTTGGTTCTACAGGGTACGTTTTTACAACTCGACTGCGCTGCGCTGCTCCTTGCCGGCTTTTTCACTCTGCTTTGCCGACACACGCGTCACGCAAACAAACGTCAATGCCAGCAATAGCGGCTCCGGGAGGAAAAGAGATAGAGAGACCGCGATCGAAAGCTACAATATGCTTGCCGTTTTTATTTATTCTTATTTTTTTGTTCTCCGCATAAACTTATTTGAAGGCCAGAGTATCGAATGCTCTCAGCTGATCGAATGTGCCTCTTCACTTGTTGTTGTTGTTGTTGTTTTATTAAAATTTAATAAATGAAATAGATAAAATGGTCATTTCTTGGCAAAAATAATGAAAACTTTTCATCTGGAATCATGTGAATACAAAAGAACCATCAAATCGATTTCGCGATTCCATAGATTTGATTCCATTGCATACTTTTGGGCCAATTCTGGATAAACTATGTCGTAAACACGGTAATCCTGCATGACACTTGCTAAATGAAAGCTAAAGGGAGATCACACTTATTAGGAAAAACATGGTATAAAATGAATTTAAAGAAAAATAAAACTGATCAAAGCTTATAACTCTACCGTTATTAATTCAGTCAGTTGAGTTTTAAGAAGTGAGTCGTGCATTTATAAAATGTCATACACGCTTAAGATGTAGCGACTGCATTCGACGCGACGAACTCTCGGAACACATTCGCTCGCTCACTCACACACACACAAACTTTCACAGTAGGTTCGTGCGACAGCCGGCCGGGCCGTCATGATCCCCATTACCGCACCTTACCCCCCTCCGATCCATTGACGCCGATAGCGACACGTGTGTCGAGCACTTGGCGCCCTTTTTCGCATAAAATTATTGCCATTGTTTCTCTATTTGTAAGTTTCTCTAAAAAGCAAAGCAAAAAGAATTAACAACAAAATTTCCACACTCTGTTTTCTCATTACAGTTACAGCAGTCGCGCGTCAGCGACTCTCCAACAACAGCAGATACCATTCCAGAACGTACTGGTAGACCGTAGCGCCATTTAAGACGTCATACACGCATAAAAGAAGTAGAAGACCAGAGTCTAATTACGGTCCAACCATAGGGCAAGCAGTGGGCCTGCAGAGTGCGAGAGCGGGACACAATGATTACCTAACGGGGCCGGGAGACCCAAACAAACATATTGCTAAGGGAATTAAAAAGAATACTTCAGCGCAACAATAACAAAAACAGCAACAACAACAACAACAGCAACAGCAACGAAAGATGTTAAATATCCAAGAGGAGACGTCAGCAGCGACGCTGACGTCAGTGTCTGGTAGGGAGGAAAATTGGACGATGAAAAGGGAAAGAATGAAGAAAAATTGTTTGGAAAATAATGCATTATGCAATAATTATGCAATAACGACAACAAATGAGGTATTAGCTAAAACAGCAACAACAAAAACAACAACAACAACAACAACAGAAAACATCGGAGCAGCAACAGCAACCACATTAACATTATCGCCGCCCCACAAAATTTGTGTCTTGTGTCGGCAACAAATGACTGAGGAGACGTGTGGCTGCTGCTTGACGACTGCAGGAGAAGCAGCATCAGAGTCTGCGACATTGTCAAAAGCGGCAGCGGAGTCATCCGAGGAATCAAGCAGTTCCCCTGCAAGCAGTGAATTTGAATTTAAATTAGTAAAACTAAGGTTTTGGTGCGAAGACCCAATATATTGCTGCGCCTGTGGTTGCAGAACGTATTGCGAACATAAACGTAAACTTGAATGCATCCGAAATAATGACGATGGTGATGATGAATATGATGATGATTATAGAAACAACACAAAGAACAATCGACGGCTACTGCAGGAACACTTTAATATTTATAGCAATTGCCACAATATACTGAGAACGCTGCAATCGTTGCTGCTGCTCATGCAGAATAGTGCCATATTCACAAAGCGACGTCGAAGGCAGCAGCAGCAGCAGCGGGAGCAGGAGCCACAAAACCAACTAAAACAAAAATTTGTAAATTATACAAAATTCCTATTGCTGTTAGAGACAATATCAGCAGCAACCACAACAAGACTGAGTTTAAGCCGTAAAAAATACAACAAATATAATTCTATACATAATCAACAACAACAACAACTAGGGAGTAAACGTGCCACATCACAAGTTCAACGACAGCATCGTCAACGATTTCATCACAAGCACCAACATCAACATCATCATCATCGTCGTCATAATCATCATTTTTGGAGACCAAGGCTGGTCTGGATATTCGCCACTGGTCTGCTGGCCATGCATGCCACCACAGCCATGCAACTGCAACTGCAACCGGATGAGCTCTACCAGGAACAACCCCAAGAACATTTGCAACAGCAGCGTCAGCAACCACAGAGCGATATATCCGAAAGAATTGAATTGCGATTACGTCGAGCGAGTAGCAGCAGCAGCGGCAGCAGCAGCAACAGCGGCAGCAACAGCAACAGTGGCAAGCCCAATGATCAAATACGATTGTCACACAACGAAAGAAGTAAGTTATAGTTTAAATGTATGTACGCATGATCATTTCCACCTAAAGGTACAACGAGACCAAAATATTAAAACAAAAGAAAGGAACTAAATAATAAAAAAAAGAATAAAATAATGAACTAATAATAAAAATATTAAAAGTAAAAATTAAAAAGGTAATAAAAATAAATTTATAAAAAAAATATATAAAAAAGTAAAAAAACAATAATAAAATAATAAAGAGTTGGAACGTTGACTCTAAAATGTGTACCCGATACTCAGTTAGTATGGCTCTCCTCCGCCAGAGGGCGACTGCAAATTAATTTGTTGCCAGAAGGAATACAATAATAATAATCAGATCTGTAATTCTCAGTTTTTAGTTTTCTCGTATCTTTACAATTGTGAATGCTACAGATTTTCGTCCATATAGTCGCCGGGATCTAGGCGCCCATCGGGCCGGAGGGACAGACGAAAAGACATGGCTCTATCGACTCGGCTATTGATGCTGATCAAGAATATATACATCCTTCTGGATGTTACACACATCCATTTTCAAACTCATTTTGACTATTGGGCATACAAAAAAATAAAAATAAATTAATACAAAAATATAAAAGTAAAAAATATAGAATAAAAAATCAAATTAAAAAACCTAAATAACTTTGTTATTATCAATAAAAAAGAAAATAATAATATGGGACACTTCCATGATGTCCAACAGGGCAATCGTAAGCATTTCAATCCATTATAAAATAGCTCTTGATTAGACCTATAATCGGCTCTAAGGTCGATTTTGGGCAACTATTCGTTTCCGAGATGTTTGCCAAAACAAAGGCAGTCGCACAAGACATAAATAAAAGTGGTTTTCGCGGCGATCAATTTAAACAATACATTTTAAAAGAAGCATGCATAATATTTCGTTTAAATTGAGTTGACTACTCGGCTTTGTCTGTTCGCCAATGTCTTGGGCAGATGAGTCGGTCCCAGAATCCAACAACAGCGCAAAAGACACGCACCAAAGACTTACTTTTCGGTCAAAACATTCCAACAACAAATCACAATCAATCCGAGAATTAAATACTAGAAAAAACCTCCTCTAAATGCGTATTTTTCTCATTTCTTTAGCTTGCAAATCAATGGACATACGAAATACCGCGAGGGAGTTCAGTCAGCTCTCGAACTGCACCATCATTGAGGGCTTCCTGCTGATCACCCTGATCAACGATGCCGACCATCTGAACGAGTCGTATCCGCAGCTGACGGAGGTCACCGAATACGTGCTCGTGTATCGGGTGAACAATCTGGTGTCGCTGTCGAAGGTGTTCCCCAATCTGAGCGTGATACGCGGCAACATACTGTTCGATGGGTACGCCCTGGTGGTCTACTCAAATCGTGATCTGCAGGACCTGGGACTGTCCAAGCTGCGGGCCATCGCCAATGGGGGGGTGCGGATCGAGAAGAATCCGTCGCTGTGCTTTGTGCACACTGTCAATTGGCTGCACATCATGGCCGAGAATGCCACCAAGTCGGAGGTGGTGCTGCAAACCAATCGCAATGAGGCCACCTGCCCCAAGTGCCCGGGCGAGATCAAGGGCGGAGACGTCCAGGAGATGAATGGAGCCAACGGCGGCGAACCGAGCGTCA